AACAAAATGACAGCAACTTGTCTGTTCCCCTTCCCCCAATTCCCCAGCGCTGTTCCCATGCCCCAATTCCCCAATAAAAATCTTAAAAAAAAAAAAAGCTGCACGAATATTAGGTTTATTTCCAGATATATGGCCAGCCTGAGCAAATGCTGTATGTATATGTGTACAGATAAACATATACATATACAGAGGGTGCCAAAAAGATGTATACACATTTTAAGGAAGGAAAAAACTATTAAAATTGTAATACTCAATATATACCAATAACAAAAGGTGAATACAAGTCATGTGCATACATTTTCTGGCACCCCTGGTATAATGTTCTCCTCTGACAACTCTTCCCTCTCACACACAACCTCTTGGCTTGCCCACTGTTTGACCTTCCTATTCTCTGTCACTCCCCAAGTGAATCCAAACACAATCATTCCACCTCCGCACTACTCATCATTGATCATCGGGGAAATGCAAATCAAAACCCCAATGAGCAATCACCTTGCACCTGTCAGAACAGCTGTTATCAAAGACAAGTGAGTAAGTGTTAGTAGAGATGTGGAGAAAAGGGAACCCTCCTGCACTGTTGGTGGGATTATAAATTGGTTCAGCCACTGTGGAAAACAGTAGGAAGGTTCCTCAAAAAATTAAAAATAGAATTACCTTATGATCCAGCAATTCCACCCCTGGGTATTTATCCAAAGGAAATGAAAACATTACTTTGAAAAGATATATACACCCCTATGTTCACTGCAGTGTTATTTACAGTAGTCAGGATATGGAAGCAACCTAAGTGTCTATCAATAGCTGAATGGATAAAGAAGAGATGGTACATATATACAATGGAATGTTATTCAGCTATAAAAAAAAGAATGAACTCTTGCCATCTGCAACAACTTTGAAGGACCTAGAGGGTATTATGCTAAGTGAAATAAGTCAGACAGAGAAAGACGAATACCATATGATTTCACTTATATGCAGAATCTAAAAAACAAAACAAACGAACAAACAAAACAGAAACAGACTCATAGACACAGAACAAACTGATGGTTTCCAGAGAGAAGAAAGGGTGGGAGGGGATGGATAAAAAAAGTGAAGGGGATTAAGAAGTACAAACTACCAGTTATAAGTCATGGTGGTGTAATGTATAGCACAGGGAATAAAGTCAATAATATCATAATAACTGTGTATGGTGACAGATGGGTACTAGACTTATCATTGTGATCACTTCATAAGGTATTGGGTTGTCAGAAAAGTCATGACGTATTTTTTCTATGTTTTTTGTTGCAATTGCAAAAATGTGTCATGTCTTTTCCGACAACCCAATTATATATATGTCTAATTACTATGTTGTACACCTGAAATTAATACAATATTGCATGTCAGCTACAATTAAAAATAAATTTTAAAAATTCTGTCCACATTTCTAATATTCACCTCCTCAAAACCAGATACCAAATTCTTTTGAGCATTGCTTACTGCTATGCCACCCAACCTTAAATTTCATAACATTATGACAAACCCAAATCAAGTTCTAACAAAATAAAAATGATAAAAAAATAAATGATCAGATGTATGTTTATAACCAAAAGGAGTGAGCCTTCAAACGCTCCACTGATCGTGTGCAAATCTGTTGTTTCCTATAAGCTAGTTCAAGTGCTATTTCTTCTCCATCCTTTCCCCCAACTTCCTCTTCCCTTCCAACACCCTCTCCCATAAACATACACAAAGTGCACAGTACAATCAATTCATTCATCATGTGGGTGCACATGGTCCTTTACGTATACTTAACATTTGTAATAAATTTGTGTGGGTCTATCTGTTGGTTGGACAATGCGATCCCAGAGGGCAGGGACACGTCTCACTCACTGTGACACCCCAATACTTAGGATAGTGCCAGAATAATACAGTAGGTATTCAACACACATTTATTAGGTTGAATTTACAACCAACCAATCACGGTGTACACACACCCAGACACACACCCCATCTTTGCTCTCAGGTATAGTCAGGCAACACATTAGCCATAGTAGTTACGGCTGTGCCAGCATTTCAACTACAAACCTTCTTTTAAGCCACACAATTCAGTTACACAATCTTCACATACTGAAAAAAAATGCTGGGTTAATTAACCTAGGAAATTAGACAGGAAAAATTTCTTCACTTGCCATGCCATCAAATTTTGTAAAGTTGCAGCTATAATAATAAATTATTATAAGTTATTGTTTTATATATATATATATATATATATATATATATTTCCCCCCCAGAAGAACTTCATCTACCTCAAAAGCCTTCCATACATTCTCACCCCTCTCTGTTTAAGAAAGATACTCAGGGATAGAAAAAGACAGTCTGAGGAATATAATCAATAATGTTGTAAATATTTCTTAGGGGGCCAGATGGACTCAAGTCCTGTTGGGGAGACCACTTCATAGTCGATGTAGAGATACAGTGCCTGACCACCGCACTGTATCTCTGAAGCTAATGTTGAATAATATTGTATGTCAACTATAATTATACATACATATAGTCTCGGGACATGGAGTAGAGAGTGGGAATGGATTCAATGGAATTGTAATAGATAAGCATGATATTGGGGGTGGGAGGGCAATACATGGGGGGAGGGGGGTTGTTACTT